AAAACTACTCCCCTTTCTACCGGTCGAAGCAGCATTCTCCAGCGTTCTTTTGGCTGAATCCTCTAGGCTCAGGAACAGCCTTCCACGCCCGCAAACCGCCGTCCAGAGAGAGGTGAGAACCGGTAAAGAATGCCTCTACACTTGGCTAGGATCATCGATCAAGAGATCTTCCCAAGCAGCCAAGAAACTCGCCCTAATCACTGACCTAAGCCTCAAGAGGAACCTCCCTAACCTAGCTCTATTTCACGCCTAGGTAATACACCGGAGTCTCTTAACCAAAGGGCTAACAGTGAATGTCAAGGGGGAGAAGAGGAACCGGAAAAACAGAGAGAACCAGAGTCGTGCCAAAGAAGGAAGAAGGAATGGGGTTGTCTATCCAAGAAGCCAGAGATCACGTGATATAGATTCAAATGAGGAAAGAATATCTCACCCACTTCAATCTCCACCGTTGGTTGAATCGAGGGTCACAATTGTTGCAAGAAAACAATCAACCCGATTATAGCATAGGCCCAATAACATTGTTAAAGAGAACCACCCAAATAAGCTAGAACCACCAAAATAAGCCCACAATTGCCTAGAAACTCGAAATCAATTTCATCGTGACCAGTTCCTTGAGATGCTAACTGCACAACCAAATAAAAAATTCAACTGATTCAAAACATGTAACTCAAGAAAAGACGGAGTGGAGCAGTATAAAGATTGGGGGTGCTGAGTGAAAAATAAATTGAGTACTTACGAAAAATGTGGTTACAGTTCCAGCAGAGTCTCCGGGAACAAGTTTGAGTTGCATGTCAAATCTTCCAAACAGGTACTCATTCTTGGACTGAAATCCAGAATCCGAATATTTGTCTAAGGAGAGTGTTAGAAGCCTGCCACCCTCCAGTATCTTACCGCGGCCATCAGCCCAGTTTATATCAACGTCCCTGTAGAAACTACCAGCTGAAGGGATCACCAAAGATGTCATGATAATGGAAACTAAAACAACTGCCAGATTCGAAAGAGCTCTGGAATTAGAAACAGTAGCCATTTTTGCTGCTGAAAGAGAAGTGTAGCTAGAGAGAGATGGAGGGAGAGAGGATGGGAGAAGTTGGAAATAAAGTCTACATTTATATATATTAGTTTCTAGGGTGAGGGGGTTTGGCTTTGAACAGAATGAAGATTCTGTGTGCGACATGACAGTGTAATTGAGCTGGACAAAAATGATAAATTAGAAAATTTAACAAATAGAAGACAGGTAAAGTTTACGCGTACGTATGGCTTTCGGACACTTCCCAGGTTGAGCCTAAAGTGATACCTGGAATTTGTGTATTATTGAAAGGGATATTTTTTCTAGGTTGCTTCTGACAATGACAATCATTGAAGGAGCAAATGCTTTTACACTCTGCTTGTCATATGGTCTTGTGTCAAATAAGATAGTTGATGTAAATTTAAAACATAAAGAACATTCAACTTCGCCGCAACATAAATTTGGCAGTGCTGTTGGGACTTGCAAGAAAGACATTCGTTGTCTCCTAGAGTCTTTTCTAATACTCATTCAAGAAGTGTGTGCGTGCGCCTGCGATGGAGAGAATGGGTTCAAATAAAAACTGTTGGAATATAGAACGCTAAAAATGGACATTTAAACATAGAAATTAGAAATGTTTTATTTTAAGCTTTGTTTGGTGCTTGCTTTTTACTGTTATCCGTGATTATTATAACGATAAATTGGACATGATGGTCCACACACTCATTTCCACTTTTATCTTCTTCCATTTTTTCGGTGTTAAAATCATAAATATTTTACTTTTTTGCGTAATTTGTCTCTAGTAACCATTTATAAAAACCGTTAAATTTATAATATATTAAATATCACATCAAGTGACAATTATTTTTTGGACGATATCAACACTACTATTATTTAATTATTTCAATAATATCCTACTTTTCATTTTTCAATATGTATTTAATTTATTTAACAATTTAGTTATCATCAATGTACATGTACATTTGACATAGTCATTTCACCCGTGTACTTTCATTAATATATGAATTTTCTATTATTAATTCTCAATTAATTAATATTTGCTTTCGTTTAATTAATATTCATATTCATTTATCCATTTCATTGTTATTAATTCTAATTATAAGTTAATTAGAATTTTGCATTCAACAATGCATTTCATTAATAACATTCATAGATGCTAATTAACATCCAATTTTACTTAATTAGAAATTAAATAAATGATTTAACATTAATTGTCACGTATATATTCCCCTGTATTAATTATAAGTTAATTAATATTCACGCATATTTAAATAATACTTTTATAACATTTATAAAGTATTTTATAATAACGTACAACATACATTCAACATTAACCAGTTGATACAAAAGACAAAATCCTCAATTTTCGAAAGGAAAAATAAATGGAGGGAGAGAACTTTTCTACAAAAGTTGGACTTGTAATGAATTTCATGATTGTAAAAAATATGTGGCTATCCTTCGTTTTAATGTTTGTGTAGCACTCAAGCCTAGATCATCTATTAAGAAATAATTGCACATCGAATAAAGATAAAGATAAATTAATTTATAAGGATGTTGGATATACTTTTCTAAATAAGATTGATCTTTTAAAACAAAATCTAAACTATTAACATGGTATCAACGCACATTAAACTCAAACAAGCAATTTGATCTAAAACTTAAAAAAAAAAATGTACGCAAATTTCAAGATTGGTTTGTTCAAACAAGCCACCGTTTTGTATAGACATATTAATGGATAATTCCACATCAAATAAAGATGAAAATATAAACAAACTTATAAGAATTTGGACTATTTTTAATAAAGTTGACATTTTAAGATAAACAACATGTGTTAAACAACATTGACAGCTTATTAGTCCAATGTCACTATGCTGGAGCAATTGGGGGTAGGCAACTTCTTCTTGTGCTGCCGCCTGGGCCTCCCTACTATTTGCTCTCTAAGACACTTGAATAAGGAAAAATAAAAGAAATGATACAGCTCCCTAGACAGCGAAATAGGGGTGACTTCATATTGTTTCCTACTTTCGTTGCATCCATATTTCATCATAGACTAGACTACTTTGGAAGTGTGCCTAATTTGTACAGGACGGCAATGAGAAATGGATTCAGTCCCCAGCTTTCAGTCTTATGGAAAACAGTCACAATCTCAGTCTGCTCGATTATTTGGACAACTAGAAACAAAGTTTACTATTAAGGACGTGGTCACTCTTATTTGGCAATCATTAGTTTTTGTTTAATGGGGTTGTAAAAGAGGCCGGCTACATTTGCGGAGCTAACAGCGTTAAAGAAGTTTCGCACGACAGGAAATTCTGTAGGTAAACTCTGAACAGTTAACTGAATTTGAAGAAGTAATAGACAAATTGCAGTGGATAGAAAAAGAAAATATTGCAGTTGACTGAAGATAAAATTGGTGTCTTTGAAGCCGGGGCCTGTGTCGAACACAGTGTCCTTAAAGCAATATTCGCCCCCTCACCGAAGTAATGCGAGCGCTTGCTTCCCAGGATACAGCGGCGTGAACTGTAGTTTGTACAGTCGAACTGAACGAGTGTGCCGGAACGGAATCACCAAGTGACTGTAAGACGACAGGAATTTGAAAAGGGAGCAGAAAGATTTCGTGCTGTTGTGGTGTGTCTGAACTGAAGAGATTGTTCGGGATATATAGGCAAGGAGGAGCCTTTGCCTCTTAATGCAGTCATAACTCCAGTCATAACTCTGCCATTGAATTCTCACGTTTTGGAGTTACAAAAATAAATGAAAACAGTTTTCAAGTTATGTTTTAAATGGAAAAACGTAAAAGAAAATTTTCAAAACGTGGCTTGCACTTGGTGGCCAATTTTTGACTCATTCGGTCCGACATTCGTGTACGCAGGTCGCGCCCGCACACAAGTTCAAGGCTCGAAGGCCAAGTCGGTCCAAGATTTGCACCCCCCCTGCGGGCGCGTAGGCCACGGAGGAGTCTCTATGCAACAAATGGTTACACCTTACAAATTGTTAACCATATATAAATTGGTCCAAAAACTTATTCTTATCCTATGTGGGATAACTATTTAAGTTTTCCCACTTGCCACTTTCTTTTTTCTTTTTCCAATGTGGGATGGTACTATTTATAGTCCCCATATATTCCCACTTTTCCATTTCTAACCAATGTGGGATTGTTAATCCCTTTTAAAGCTCCTCTTCAAATCCCAACTTTCAATCAATGTGGGATTAATTTCACATACACAAGTGAAAATTCATTTGCCAAATAATATATTTTCCAACAATCCCCCACATGAATGGAAATTAATAGAGACACGGAATACTTGGTGACAAAGTTCCACAGTTGAAACCTGCATAGGATAGGTAGGTGTTACCCTTTGAACCTCCCCTTATGAAAATACATTTACTTTACTAGCTGATCAGTAGACGTGATGTCTTTGAACTGTTCTGCGTTTTGTGTAAACGATGATGTACCTCACACAGGATTCTTCCTAACACAATTCAGTTCTCATGGTTATGTTCGTTTGTGGCCATGAACATATGCCTGGTTCAGTGAGAGTTATTAAGAATTGAGCCTCACAATTCCCTTCGAAGCGGCCCCACTTCTTTCTCACATAGGTGATTTCTTAATTAAGAGTAACCCGCATTACTCCGCTCGGATTTTCGACGCATAAGAATCATTAAAAGCCTTATTGCTTATCCTCTTCCCACGGGCATCACTATTATTACAGGAATGGACCGGAAATAACCCCCACAGTGATATAGTTAAGTATTTGCAATTAGGTTTTCTCATTGAACCTAGATCTTGGGATCTCCAGTCAGCTAGGTTGAGTTTCCACTACAATAACTTATTCTTTTAGAGGCTTAAGTCCCATTCCTTTTGATGACTTTGCAACTAACTCTCTATTTAACCCTTTGGTTAGCGGATCCGCAATGTTATCTTTAGACTTTACATAGTCAATAGAGATAACTCCAGTTGAGAGTAACTGTCTTATGGTATTATGTCTACGACGTATGTGTCTAGACTTACCATTGTACATGTTGCTTTGTGCCCTTCCAATCGCAGATTGACTATCACAATGTATGCAAATTGCTGGCACAGGTTTAGACCATTTTGGAATATCCTCTAAGAAATTGCGTAGCCATTCAGCCTCTTCACCACATTTATCTAGAGCTATAAACTCAGATTCCATGGTAGACCTCGCAATAACTGTTTGTTTAGAGGATTTCCATGATATGGCTGCACCTCCCAAAGTGAACACAAATCCACTAGTAGACTTTGAGTCTTTAATATCAGATATCCAATTCGCATCAGTATATCCTTCAATAACAGCAGGATATCTGGTATAGTGTAGTCCATAGTTACGAGTATATCTCAAGTATCTTAGTACTCTTACTATTCCTTTCCAGTGGTCAGACCCTGGATTACTAGTATATCTACTCAGCTTACTAACTGCATAAGCGATATCTGGTCTTGTACAACTCATTAGGTACATAAGACTTCCGATTATTCTAGAGTACTCTACTTGAGAAATACCATCGCCTCTATTTTTCGATAGATGTTGACTTGTATCTATCGGTGTTCTAGCCACGCCAGTATCATCATTATTGAATTTTTCCAAAATTTTGTCCACATAATGTGACTGACTTAGAACGAGTCCATCCGATGTTCTTGAAATTTTAACTCCAAGAATCACATCAGCTAAACCCATATCCTTCATGTCGAATCTTGAATTCAACATATTTTTAGTAGATTTAATCATCTTATCGTTGCTACCAACGATGAGCATGTCGTCAACATAAAGACATAAAATAACATAACCATTTCCTGTGTCTTTAATGTAAACGCATTTGTCACATTCATTGATTTTAAATCCACTTTCCATCATGGCATTGTCAAATTTTTCATGCCATTGTTTTGGTGCTTGTTTTAAGCCATATAATGACTTTACCAATTTACATACCTTGTTTTCTTGTCCTGGTGCAGAAAACCCCTCAGGTTGTTCCATGTAAATTTCTTCTTC